CTGGAAAATACACTTCCTCTCTTTCTTGTCGAAAATTAGTTGGAGGAGATTAATGACACTCACATGTCCGTACATTTACTATGAAGCCTCAACTAGCTGCCTGTTAGCTTAGTTTAGCACAACGATTAGAAACGGGGAAACAACTGCCCAAAGCTAACATAGTCCACCCACCAACACTTCTGAAACTCACAAATTAACATTTTTTTATCTTGTTTATTTAATTTGCACAACTGAAGTGTAAAAATGAGATTGTTATACTGCCTTTTATGAAACCTGAGTGAGTTTGTGACTTTATTTTCACCTCAGCAGTGCTTTGAGCATGGTGCTTGATGAGTTGCCACAGAGCAGCTGGGTACACAAACATACCACCTGAGTTTCAGGTGTATGTGTTTGCTCGCTTGTTGGTTCGCCCTGGAGCCTCACGGGCAGCGGCAACATCACAAGGTCCGCCATACATGAACACAGCTCCTCATGAAGCTCCTGGGTCTATAAGAGAATGGGACACAGTCTGTGTTTGGGCACAGGTGTCGTTGCACGTGAATCCACGTGTGGATGTGGTCATGCTTGTGTTTAATTTCATGCTTTTGCTATTTGTTAATGAATTTCTTGTCCTTGCAGTTGATTCACTTCTACTGTGGAGGTTAAAGCATTAAGGCGACCGCAAATAGCGTTTGAGTCCAAAGAGAAATTGCAAGAGGATGCAGATTAAACATGAAATGTGATCAGAGCGGCCAACTGTCACGCCTGGAGCAGGAGATACATGATTTTATGCTCGATCTCTTACTCTTCTCCTCTGACTCCTCAAGAGGTCTCACGCTCTGAGAAAACGCAGCTGACAAAAGGTTGCTATCACGCATGAAGCCGGCCAACTGCAACGTTAATGTTGCTTTCTGGGTTCAAAATGTGAATACTATTGGTATGTTACAAAAACAGGGAGAAGTATTTGACATTCACTTTTGCATATATGTCACTTTTACGTGTATTGATGTGTGCTGTGTTGCCTTTCTTTAGTCTGACTTTGAACACCATCATCAATCATCTCACTTAAACACGTGTATGTATGTGTCGGGTGTGTCTCTGTATGTGTGTGTGTGTGTGTGTGTTTGTGTGTCCCAGCCCACCCACTGAAGCCGTGCCAGCGGCTCAACACATCACAGCATCGGGGGCATCTGTTTGAAACTGAAATAAAAGTAAAGGCTATGAATAAAAGAGCCACATGAATAAAAACGCAGGATGCAAATGACTTGCCGAGCTGAGGTTGTGTGTGTGTGTGTGTGTGTGTGTGTAAGAGAGTGAGACAATGAGTGTTTTAGTGAGTGAGAGAGTGGAAGGGTTGTATTCACCCTGCATTTGTCCTCCATCCCATCATGGCTGCACCTTAGCTTGAGAGCACACACACACACACGCACACATATTTCCATGCTCTCTAAGGTGTGTGGTTTTCTCATGCATTAATCAACAGCAGTTTTGACACTGCGCTCCTGAATGAGGAGAGAGAGAGCTGTTGGTTCTCTCCTTCACTCTGCTAGCGCTGCCTGGGGTGACTTCATCAATTAGGCCTCTCTGGAAACAGCAGCATCCTCCCTCCTTCCTTCTATCTTCCCTTTCTCTCTTTTATTTATTCCTCCTCTCTGTACCTCTCTGTGTGACTTGTGTCCCTCCCTCCCCATATTGCATCTTTCCCTTGTGTTCTTCCCCTCCTCCCTGTCCACTACCACTCAAACTTTCTGCTCACCCGTCAAACCACTTTGTTCCTTACTTGTCTCTTATGCCCCACTAGTTTGTCCTTTGTTAGTAGTATATATATATAATATACTGTTATTATTGGCAAAAAGGTGAAGAATGAAAAACACAATGGGAGATATTTATTATCACAATCTCATCTTGCCAGTGTTCCCAAAAACACCCAGAAGTTACTGTACGTGAACGCTTGCTGCTTACAGATAAACTGATAATTTGCCAAATGTCTACATTTTGCAAACAACAGTGAATCTATCTTTAAAAAGCTGCTGTAGTCAACATATATTTGTAGATTTAAATCATGTCATTCTAGTCAGTCATTGACTAAATTGAGTCAAAATGACTTGACCAGATCATCTGTTTTTTTGTCAAAACACTGTTTGTGAAATGACAGTCGGTCTTTGATTGGGCCCTAATAAAGGTGGCAATGCCGTGATTATCTATTACAGGTGTACTTTCCCTATTTCCTGTCAGTCAGGCTGGTCTGGCTCCTGCTGAGCACTGGGAAAAAAAAGAGCAGTAAAGGATCAATATGTTTGTTCACATAAAAATGTCTTGGATGGTAAACTCATTGAGATGGACAGCTCATTTACGTCACAGACCTCAGCCTGGAGACAAGAAGATGACTCCAGAACGCTGCGCTGCACTCAGCCCCGGGCAAGAATAGCAAATAAATGTTTAAAAATGAAAGAAAAAAAGGAAAAGCATGAAGAACCAGCTACTGTATCAATCCCTGGCCTGTCTTTGAGTGTTTCCGTAAATCACTCTAGTTTGCATCTGACTAGAATAGTAATTTAAACAGCAGAGCTATATTCTTTGTAGTACCACAATAGCACAAAACACAGCATTTTGTAGTGAATACATTTTGTATCTGCCATATTTGACAATGAGCTGCTCCCCATTCATCCCTCACATATCAAGGCCTTTAAAGTATTCATTCTGGAAGAGCAGTTGTCTACCGGACATGCTCCAAGAGTAGCGCTGAAGAGCTGGCATAAAGATTTGGCAGAAGTTTGTGCAATAATGAGGCAATGCCAAGCAACTGCGCAGTGTGGTTGGTGAGCTGTCGAGCCGTTCCCGTCTCTCAGATGTGTCCCTGAAGGGCAACCGTACGTATGTCACCGATGACATCCACTGATGAGCTTGAATATGTGTGCATGGCAGTGGGTGGGATGTCACGTGTGTCTGTGTTGGGGAGGGCAGTGTGTGCATATGTGCACGCCGTATGTACAGTATGTTTCTGGACTTGTTTGTGATTTTGAGTGTGTGTCTTCTTTGGTCGTGGAGGCTTACAGGCTCTGTGCGCAGAGGTTCCCTAATCCAGTGTTTTGAAATGAGCCCTCCAGCTGTTGTGGGCTTGAGAGACTGCTGCCTTGGAGGAGGCTTACGGACGATAAGAAGCTCTTTCTATCTTCATTCCTCTAGGACCTCCTCTTTCTTTCTTTCTCTTCTTCAATCTTCCTCTGTCTTTCTCCCTCCCTAAATCCAGCCCATTAAATATCTCTGTGGCCATGAGAATAAACACTTACACTGATCTCATGCTGCCAATGCAATCTCACATTCCGTTAGGGTCGCAACCTTTTGTGTGAACTTATCCTGCTTTGCCGTTAATACTCCTATAAGACCATAGGTTGACTGTGTGCATGAAGTGAACATTGTGTACACAGAGGATTAAAGATCAGATTAGAGTGGTGACCAAAGACTGTTATTTATTATATTCATAATGATGGTGGATGTCATAAGGGCTAAAGGGAGCTCATTGGCTGCATTGTGATGTACAAACTGCGGACACTGTCCTGCTGCTGAGTTACAGTGAGGAACCATACTGCTGTAAGTGATACACATGGACATTCCAAGTTAAATTGCTTGCATAATGTATGGCGAGTCTTTCCACGGATATGTCTCTTGTGAACCGTAACTGAGAAGAGCAGTTCGAGCGCTGCCTATCTCCGCCATGCCAGCAGTGACCCTGCAGGGCATGTCGTGAGTGCCAGCAGAAGGAAAGCGTAGGAAGTCCGCAGGTTCCGGACACACCGAGAGGGAGCACCAGGCAGTCTGTCAGCTAGAATATGATGTGATAGTCAAAACCCAAATTCAGCAAAAATTACACTTACAGCCTGAAATTCATAGCAGATGCCATATATGTTGTGACTTAGAAATAATACAAATGACTGGATGTATGGTTGGTTGTGAGATTTCTATTTTGTTGTGCCAAGTGATCATTATTTGCACTTGACATCTGGCTTGACTCCTACGTACCACACAAATGACATGCTGGTGGTTTCTACTATTGGCTTATGCCAAGATCTTCATCTTACATTATCACTAACAAGGATGATTCACAGGACATGATCAATTATCTGTAATCATATCAGTGCCATCATCTTCCTCACCATGTTTAGATAAGAGTACTTCCCATGCGGGGTTTTTGGACATGGATACATGCTTGCGGGGGAGAGCTAACTTAATTTCGGCTGTAATGTCTTTAGCTGGTCTAGAAATAGGATGCTGTATGTACATATTTGTCTCTGGGGGTCTGTTATGGCCGACAGCTGAATCCAGTTGAGGAGAGCCGCTTCTCAGTACCTCAGTTTTGAGTTTGTTGCACAAGACAACAAGCTCTCATGGATGTTTTGTATGCCGCATGTGCTCAAGAAGCAGCAAATAGTATCTGAAATATCCATCACCCTCCCCACTTGTCATGTTCATTTAGCGTGTATTGATACAGACCTTGTTCCCATGAAGGCAGCAAGAAGCAAGATGTTTCAGAAAAATGAATAACTCAAGAGACAGCCTATCGTGTTTCCCTGTTTAACTATTGCATATTTCATGTGATCCTTCACAGTGTGGTCTAGATGTTTGTTTTGCAGCTGAGAGCATTTCAAAAGTGGAGCTTGGTTCAGAAATCATGTTTGTTTTGCTGTTAAGATTAAAAGGCTGCGGAGAAGGGACGCGCAAAGAAATGAAACACTGCTTTTTTTTGTACATGGCAGAGGTTTTTCTTATTATTACTTATAGACGTGCCCTCCTTCGTGTGTCTGTCTTTCCAATAATGAAAGTCAATAGCCTGCAGAAAAGACAATGTTGCAAATATTGTAAGAAAGATTGTGCAATATGCATCTGTTTGGAATTGTGATGGCTCCATTTGGATATCTGCTTTGCTCTGTCTGTTCTCTTGTTTCACTTGTGTACTCCTTGATACTGTATGTGCTCATCTACCGTGCATCAAGGCGCTGATCGCTGCCTCTCTCCTCCTGCAGTGTGTGTGCGGGCGCTGGATGTGACGGTGTCCCAGAGCAGCATCCAGGTGGCCCGCGGCCAAGCAGCCGTCCTGCCCTGCTCCTTCACCACCAGCGCTGCCCTCAACAACCTCAACATCATCTGGATGGTGATACCACTGTCCAATGCCAACCAGCCAGAGCAGGTACCCAACACATTACTGATGAACCCACTAAATCACAGTGATAGAGCATTCCTCATGAGAATCTTCAGCAAAGAAGCGTTCAGAGTCAGTGCTGGAGGATGATAGGGGTGTTGCAAAATATACTCTTGGTATTTGGAACCCAGCAGAGAGAGTTCCTCAAATCAATTTGGGTCTTAACTGTGATGACAGATGTATGTAGATGTTAAACAGCCAGAGCTGCAGTGCACTGTTTACTGAGTTGTATACTGTACTACTGAGATGCATGTAACTTATTTTCCAATGAAACGTTGCTGCTTCCGCATCATGTGGATGACCGTGCTGCTTCCCAACGCCAACCTTAAAGTCAAAGCAGGTACACATGACTTGATCTGTACTAAGGTGTGCTCAGATACAGCGCAAAGAGAACTGAAACAAACCTTGAGAATTGAGAAATTTGCACAATGCACAGAGAGAGAACATGTTTGGTGCTTGTGGGACATCCAGCGCAGTTACAATATAGCAATTGCTCTTGCGCATGGTCATTAAAGAAAACCCAAGCTGATGTTATGTATTTGCACTTGTTTGCCAAAATGTGCAGTGGCCTTTTGTGAAAAATACAGTCTACAACACAGGTTTTTTTTTGCACACAACACAAATAGACAAAATCTCTCTTTCCGGTGCATCTGAACCCACCTTTAAGAAGATATTAGTTATGCAAGATGACTGTATTAGTAATATAGATGTAGTTGTAAGCTTCAGGTGTGTTCACAGATTAGATGACTTTGTAAGTGTAGCCTGCAGGACAGCAATGTCATGTAGCACTTCTCTACCTTATAAACAATGTTATGTACGGCAAAGAGCATCCAGAAGCTAATTTACAGATTTTTGACTTATTGATGTGAATTTTGACCCACTGGCTTCTCGCCATTGTCGCTTCCTGGCTTGCTACTCTCTACACTCTTTTTTTTTTTTTTGCTTTCCTCACCTTCCCTTCCTTCCTCCCTCTCTCACTCGTTCACTCTTCCTCCCCCCTTGCGGGACTTCTGTGATTCCATTTGAGTTGTTTAACATGCAGCTGCAGGCCGTACAAGCTCACCTGCCTCCCTTCACTTTGAACCCCGGCGCTGGTCGGCCGTCCAAATAATACAATCATCTTCTGCACTAATTACCTCACACCCACGGCAGGCTCTATATCGCAGCTGTTCTCACCACACACACAAACAAGGGCACACACACACACACACACACACACAAACTGGCAGACAGACTGCTGGTACAAATGCAGTGCAGATCCACATGGAGGGCTTATATATATTTACTGGCTTCGCACATATACTCACGTGTAGACTGCACAAAAGTGTGAAAACTGTCATGCATGTTTTCCATACATCCATAAATGCACACATCACAGAGTAATGCCCCATAGTGCACACCTGTCGATAAGGGCTTATGCAACTCAAATCAACAGTAACATAAACACGTATAGGCACTTACTCGTGGATGAATGCATGTGACTTTTAGATGCCAGGAGAGTGAGGATGGGAGCTGATACACATAGAAGGATGCATGACATTCATAGTGTTCTCAAGCTGTACCTTCACGCTGCATTGTACCACATGACCCTGTTCATGTAGATGGGAACATTACAAACACAGTGGGGTGCACACCTTTTTAAGCGTGCATTGTTGCAAGTTGCACAGTACATGCATATATGCATACAGTGACACACACACACACACACACACACTCCATGCAGTCACACACAAGAATAAACAAATAATGTGTGAACTGCAGTTCTGCAATCAGGTTGTGCGAATGTGAATTTGGTAAGAAGTCTAAAAAGTGAGTGATGAAACAAAGTGCTGCGTTGGGCGGCAGTACAAGTGCAAGGTCATTTTAGAGGAAGAGAATGTCATGAGTGATTACAGTTGACGCTAAAAGCCATTAAGAATTACTGAACAGATGTCTGTACACTTGCACACCCTCACAACCTGCGTTAGCACTTTAGTGAGTGCACTCGGACCACTCAGATCTCTCGCTGCTGTAAATTTGAACACCATGTTCAGACAACAAGAGAAGATGCATCTTATTTAGCACCGTTAGAGGGCAACAGCACGGGATGTGCTGGCTTCTCTGACTTTGCCAACTTGGCTGTTTGTTGTAGCTCAGTTTAATCATGCAGTTAAAGACTTCACCTTGTGGTTTACAGCCTTAATGGTTGATTCCACATTATAGGCTACTCTGTATATAAATTAATAAGTCAAGATAGAGCTTTATATCATATGTTTATGACAGGAGAAAGTGTGCCAGTGTGGTGCATCAGGAGTCTCAATACAAAGAACAGATGATTTAAACAAAGACAATTTTTATCTTTTAGCTTGTTTTTTGTTTTTCATACAAAGTTGTTTTCAACTTAGCTGTTTTCAGAGAAACTCTCTGAAACCCACTGTACACTAGCAGTGCAACTGAATGTAGCTCTTTCAATAATACCTCATTCAAACTGATATGCTGTCATCATGGGTAAAAACAAGCTTCATCTCAAAGAAATACGTGAAATTATCACAGTCTCACCTTGGAAACAATGCCAATGGAAAGTCAAACAGGACTATTGTTGTGGGGGACACCACAACGCCTCCATGTGAATATCCACAGGACTTGCAACAAGGAGGCCAGTGTTCCAGACCGGTGTTCATGTCCCAAAATGTTGTTGAATTATTGTGAAGTTACGCTAGTGACGTGTTTACGCATTTTACTTCATTTAAGTACTTATTTATATGAGCTATAACCATAAACCTAACTACGTGGTTGTTGCCTAAACCTAAGCCTACACATTACATGCTACCACCACGTAATTCACTAGTAAAATGTCTTGGTCAATTCTGTGAGATCACAAATCTGTTGGGTGTCTATATGAATGGGTCAACACACATTAGCCCTCCCACCTGAACAACCCTGATCACAGCCAGGTCTGGACAAAGGTAGCCCAAGGAAAGAATCAATTCAATTATTGAATTAAAATGTAGTTTAACCAGCTCAACAAAAGAGAAACAGTGAGAGAACGAGAGAGAGGAGTCACACATGGGCAAGGCAGGTTTATTTGTACAGCACATTTCAACAACAAGGCAATTCAAAGTGCTTCACATAAAACCATTAAAAGCATCAAAACAAGCAAGTGAGGAGTGTTGGTATGAAACTGAATCTTGACTTTTATCTTGTAATTAATCAATGTTTTGAGTGTATTTCTGAGGTTTAGTGAAGTGTGTGGAGTCTCTTCTAGAATCTCTGTCTAAACTTCACTTGTTGAAGTCCCAGTCCTGTTTGTTTACTCTGAGCATCGGCTGAACTGAGCTCCAGATTACAGCATGTAGGCATGTAGCTCAGAGGAGTGTGTGCGTGTGTGTGTTTGGGTGCGTAATGTTCATGCGTTGTTTCCTGTGGTGTAATCTGTCTATCATGCCGTCGTTGTGATCAAGCCCTGACCTCGTCCCTCTGGGCTGCTAGGTGTGAGATAATCCAGATAAACACACACACACACGCAAACATACAAACCTACACACAGACACACACACACAAACACTAGACAATGGTTTCATGTTGTTTATCCTCTCTAAACTGCTTGCTATTTATGCTCTAATAAAAGCTCAGGTTCACTCTCCTCTCGCACCACCTGTGAGACTAATTCTTCAAACTGATTTTGTAGTTGAAATCATTAAAATAGTTATTGCATCACTCTGGAGACATTTCTTCAATGTGGTGAGCCTGGCAGTTTTATCTGGTCAGTACCTGAAATGTTTTAAAATCCAATTTTCATACATATTCACTCTTTGCTCCTCGAGTTAAAGAGGGAACGTTTCGTCCAGAACTCCATTACTGATGACAACTTTTTGCAGTGTCATTAAAAATCATTTACAAATGATACAGCCTGGGGAAAAAAAATGGATGACCGGTGTTTTCATCAATTCCTGGAAAGGGAGCTGTGTTTTCATTTTCTGACTCATAGGGTAAGCAATTGTGTATGCCTGGTGAAATTAGGCTCTGGTGAAATTGAGGTCATAGAGGATCTGTGGTGCAGAAATGATGTTAATCTGTAATTGAGAACAGCTGTATTTTAGATGATCAGATTCTGATCCTCAGCTGAAACTAACAATCTGCGAGAGGATAGATCACGTAGACAATGCTTTCACATAGCCTCAAATTTAACCCTTTGCTGCCTCCCTTCCACCCTGCCTAAGGCTGCCTAACATTTCAGACAAAGCCGACAACGACGTGTTGTTTGTCTGAGGCTGTAACTCCTCCCCGTGGAGAGGCTGAGGAGAGGTCATGTAACAACTCAAACACTTAGCTTCAACACACTGTCTCATATACGCTAATGTGATATCTTTTATTGATTTGCGCAGAGGAAATTCTTTTTTTTTTCCTCCAGGGACATCAGTATGCAGTCATTTCCACCAGAAGGGTTATAAGTGTCTTTCTTAAGACACTTGAGCATTTGAATTCCCGCTGATATGAGGACTTAGTTGAAGGACACAGATCACTTACCCACCCTGATACCAAATCCACATCACTCACACCTTAACTCCAATCAAATGTGGCTAATCTCCCGTTGACTCTGTGCTGTAAGCATACAGTACGTGCGTTGATTGCTGTATTCAGAATTTCTGCCAACTGTTTTAAGGTTTTCTTCATTCTTTGTAAATTTCTTTTCTAACCTATAGCTCCTTTTCGATCCCCGGCGGTCTCAGGAGATAGAATTTGTCTTTGAATTTCCTCTCCTAAACGGGGTTTTCCTAGTGTTGGGTTGGAAACTGTTGCTAATTGAGACATGATGCTGGGCGACACCAATAAACTTGGCTTTACTTGACCAACAGTGAGACATTTTTTAATGCAACATTCCCAATCAATGATAAATTGAACTAAAACGTAACCTTAAAAACAAAACACACCCTTGTATTGTTCATGAATTGATTACAAAGTATATTTTTTGAAGCAGTGGCGGTGTCCCTCATCTCTGGGGCCAATAGGATCCTCAGGGTCAGGCTATGGTTGTGTGACTGACACAGTGCCAGATAATATACAGTATGAAGGTTCACTGTGTGCATCCACCTGTGGCTCAGGCTGGAATGCAGAGCAAGATAAAGAGGCGTAGTTAGAATGTGAGTCAATGCTTACAGTGCATGTGTGTGTGTGTGTGTGTGTGTGTATGTGTGTGTGTGTGTGTCTGTGTAGGGTTTTAGGAGGGAAAAGGATGTAGCAGAGGTTTTCCACTGGGCCAGCGGTAGGACGTCCAGCTAGTCCAGCAAGAGTTCTTAGGGCCGTCCGCCATCTGAGTGTCAGCCATGACCTCTTTTCTCGCTGCGCACAGCTACAATGCCAACCAGGTCATGTGAGAGGATGAGGTGATTTATACACACACATAGACATGGATGGATCAGCACAGTGGAAAGAGATATAAATCCAAGAAAAGAGATGGAATGTGACATCTTTATCTGTCCATTAAGTCATTTTTTGACGGACAGTATTGCTGCCTTGAGTGATTCCTTTTTGTTGCTTTTTTGAATTTTTGGAAAAAACTAAAACTCACAGGAACCCACAGAAAAAAACAAAAAAATAAAGCAGGGACAGGTGTAAGATGCAACACAGTTTAGGGCCTGCTATAATCCTCACTCATGCACACACACAAACACGCTCAGTGTTGCGTGTGAGGCCGATTGATTGGATCACTTTCACCGAGCATGCAGATTATATTGTTAGGTCACCGGGAGTGTCGAGCCAGGTCATACCGGTGCCGTCTGTTAGAGATGGAAACAGAGAGGTAGGCAGAGACAGACGGACAGAATGGCAGACAGAAAATGGATACAAATATATATATATTTGACAGTGAGAAAGTGGACGGACAAAATAAAAGTGAAACAGTTATTACACTGAAAAACAGTCTGAGGCAGAATAATCATCACACACACGCACACACACAGAAGATGCAGTTGTAGGCTCTCATCACAGCTGAGGAGCTGCCTATTCATCTGCACATAAGAGGACAAAGCGAGCGTACTGCACTCAGGAAATTGCAGCCGCGCAATTTACAACCGTTAAGCAGCGGTGGAGGACACAGTCACATACACACCCCTGCATTTTCATCAGAACTATCACTCTCACTCACACACACATACATATGCACACACACACACATATACACACTGGTGCCGGTTGTTTCCCTGACTGGGTCTTTGAACAGTTCAATGAGGGCTCTTTTCACCAAACTGAATAGTCTCTCTGATTCCCCACCATGCCATGTGTGTACGTGTGTGCACGTGTCTTGTGTGTGTGTGTGTGTGTGTGTGTGTGTGTGAGCTAGTGCGCGTGTGTGAGTGTCAGACTTGTGTGCTCATGCCATGTGTTTGCGTGTGTCCTCTTCATCTTTTGTGTGGGCCCAGCTGAGGGGTGAGAGCTGTTTTGCATCTGGCTCGGCCTCACAAACGAGCTGCTCAGCCAGAGTTGGAGGCCGGAGGGAAGCTTTTGAACAAAACGATCCATCCATTGCTCTTTAATTTGGACCTGAGACAAGCTTACCTGAATCCAAAGGTGGTAATTCATTCTTACAAGTGTGTTCTCATTGTGATCATTCTGAAAGATCACGGATGTAGGCCGAGACTTTTGGTTTAATTTCTCGCTGGATTGGATCCCTTGTGTAGAAATTGTCCCGCCTTGCTACTGTTTGATTTATCAGATTGGAGTTTATATGTTTCCAAGTTAAAATGCTTTCAATTATGCATATCCATTTAGTGGAAGCTTTTATCTGAAGAGCCTTATAGTACCATGAAAGCCTACTTTTAGCATGTACCCTGGAATCTACCCAGTGAGCTAGAAACAACCCTACTTACAAATAAAATATATTTTTTCTCTTCTGTTTGTTTGTTTCTCAGGACATAAAAGTCTGCCCACTCCGTAACTTTCACTTTTCACTGTCAAGCTGTATTTCACCCTCTTTGTGGAAGTAGGTCTCCCTCTAGTGAGAGATATCTGTAACAGGCAACTAGAGTAAATGTCCAGGAATCACATTCATAAAGTATCCAGCCCCTCAGAGTGAAAGAAGAATAAAAACTCAGACACCATCTGCTACATTTCTGTTGCAGATTTTTTTTGAATGTAATTATAAATGTCTTAATTGCTAATTTTCAACATTTATTTCTTTTTTCTTTCCCCCCACATTTTTTTCTCTCTGACCTCTTTGCCACCAATGTCTCTTTCTGCCTTCCACCTTTTCCCATTTACTTCATCTATTTACCGATTCACCTCATCCCTCTATCCTTTCGTACGTCCATAACCTTCTGTGTGTCTCTTCGATCCCCTCCCCATGGTGTCCCAATCCAGGTGATCATTTACCAGGGCGGCCAGGTGTTCAGCCTCGCCAACCACCTCAATGGCCGCGTGGGCTTCGTGGCCACCATGCCAAGTACAAGTGCCTCCATCTTCATCAACAACACCCAGCTGTCCGACACTGGGACCTACCAGTGCCTGGTCAACAACCTCCCAGACAGAGGGGGGCGCAACATTGGCGTCATTGGGCTCACCGTGTTGGGTAACTCACCACACGTCACCGCAGAATATTTCTTTTTTTGATTTTTGAAAGAGTAAGACAAGAGCTGTTTCTTATATAAGAAGACAGCAGGGTTAAAGCTGCATCTATTGCAACAAAATGTCAATATGCCTTATTCACTTCATTAACTGAGACAACGTAGAGAAGAAAATTAGATGTAGTCTCATGTTGAGTTGTTGAGCAAGAACTACAGCTTTTCAATCTGTTTTCTTCTGATAGTCAGTATTTCATTGTCTGAAAGGTCTTTGGTTTGGCCTTTTAGCTTGATGGGCATCATTTCCTGCCAGTTGTAGGGCTCTAAAAATGAGTAAACAACAACAAAACACATGAGTATGACAAATTATAGAAGGTTTAAACTCTAGTTTTTAGGTAACCGGAAGAATCCTATTGAGACAATTTGCAGTAAAGCAGTGTGCAAGCACTGTTGGATTAATGAGTCTTCAGCTTTTTGTGAATATGAAACTCCCCCTGCAATTAGGAAAACATATGATTTGCATTTTAAAGTGGTTAACATGACACCACCCGCTCTCTCCATCTGGCAGTGCCCCCCTCGGTGCCAGCATGTCGAATCCAGGGCGCGCTGGATGTAGGCAGTGACATCATGCTGATCTGCAGCTCAGAGGAAGGTATTCCCACGCCGTCCTACTCCTGGGAGAAGCTGGACGCGCTACCCAAGCTGCCGCACAACGCCATGCAAGGTATTACAAACAAGCTGGCCGTCGGAGTTCCCTTTTGCCCCACCTTCGCTGGTAAATCTCACACACATAGCGTTGCTGAGCCTCAGCAACAATCCCACCTTCACCCCCACCTGTCATGTCCCAGGCCCAAACTCCCCCCCCCCCCCCCCCCACTGATCCTACTGTGGGGTGATGATGGATGGATGTGTTCCAAACCCTGTGAATTTGTGAATGAGTGCGTCAGAAATGTTGTTGTTTCTATTTTTGTGCTAACTCTGTCATGCTGAATACCGACTCTGACACAGTTTTTGTACTGGAACCAGTGCGAATAATCTCTGTTGCCATGCTGCTGCAAATTTAGCTAAGCGTCGATCAGACACCCATTCAACTACTCTCAGAATAACAGGAGCAGGTTTATCTGAGTTGTGTTTGGTTTTCAGCATCAGAGAGCACTGGCGTCGTGGAATCCCCTTTCCGACTGTGCCCACTGCACAGTCAAATGATCTTCATCACCAATCACTTTCTTTGTCTGTACACTACTGGTCAATAAAAGGCTAATATACAAAATGTAACATCAATTTCAAATGGCAGACTGCCACGACAATAAAGCTAATGTTTTCTTACACAGATAAATAATGTAGACGCAAGGAAATTTGTGAAACTGAATCATATCTGCAAATTCAGCGATGGTACAAATGTAATTTAATACATGTCAATTATCAGCATTCATTAGATGATAGTGGGGATATCTGTCCAAGAGGCTAAACTTTATCACGGCAAAATTGTAGCTGTGTTGGTAAAAATACTTTTATAAAATTAAACTAACAACATGTAAGTTTCTTACAGTTGCATGACACTTATCGTATGCTCTTTACATTATTTTAAAGCTTGTAAATTAAATATATAAATTAAATCTCAACTATTTGAGAGATTTATTGAGATTGACATTTTTTTATATTAAGACCAAATGATTCATATTGTATTGTAAAACAAACATTAAAGTAAACTCTCCATTTAGGATGCATCTCCTCCTCTTGATCGTAGTCGGAAAGCCCACCTGGTTTAACAAGTTTAACCTTTTACATTGGTGGAACAAATGGTCTCAGTGTTTTGAGTTCATAGTCGGTCCTTTTTTGCTTTTTGCATGGGGTTCACACTGAAATGAGATCCTGGATTCGTCAATGCCACTCTTCTCTCTGTGTGAGCTTAGTTTGACACAGACAGCTGTGACATTTCCACGTCACTGTCAAGAGAACAGGTGAACATCTGGCCTACTTCCTACAACTGCTGAGGCCTTTTTAATGGATCCAGTAGTGTACAGCTCTATGATTCCAAACTCACGACTCAACCCATTCATCATTTGTGAAAGAAAGGAAAATGTTTTTACTCTACAATATACTTACACTTGCACACCTTGTATTAAAGTTATATAGCACCCTCTATTGGTGGATATAAGTAGTTCAGTTATAGTCACTTTAACTATGTGGCTCTGTGTGTGTTCATCAGACCAGATGCAGGGCACTGTAACACTGAGAAACATCAGCACCAGCACCTCAGGACTCTACCAGTGTACCTCCAGCAATGTTATTGGCAAGAGCACCTGTCTGCTCAACCTGCAGGTCGTAGCACGTGAGTACACTCGAGCACCCTGCTCCTTTTCTGCTGGATCCATGTGACGCTGTTGTTGTCGTATATATACAGACTAGCTGAGACGTGGCTGTGTTTGTGAGGGGGTGCACATTTATAGATGGAAAAGCCTTGTCTCACTCAAACTCTGACACACGGGAAGTTAAAAGTCTTCTCCCCTTGAGTGAGTCTTGTCTGACAGATAAACAGAAACACAAAGAAACCAACACTACAATGAAACAAATGACAGGAGCAGAACATGTTGCAGACAGCAGCAGGCCTCCTTCAATCAGAACAAAAAGACAGAGTTGGTTTGGGGTCATACAGGGTCAGACGGGTTTGATAGCTTGACAGGAAGAAATGTAACATGGTGACAGAGTGTTTTATTTTGACAGTGTGTGACAGGATAATGCTCAGTGTCAGGAATACAAGCAGACAGACAGCGGAGTGCTGAGTCCGTCTGTCATTGCCAACACGGTGCAGATGTAAATGCTGGGAAAGAATAGGTGTTACTGAAAACTGTTCTGTTCCACACATGATCTTGAAAACAAGTTAATCGACTTATTTCCTGTCGTTTAGTCTTTCATCCAGCTGTCTCTTCAGCTGAGGCTGATCCTGGATGATTTAAGACTGAAGTCACTGCTACTCATTACTCCTCCTGTCTCTCCGTCCTGCAGCCCAGCCTCAAAGCGTGGGTCTGATAGCGGGCACCATCGCCACTGGAGTCTTAGCTCTCATCATCTGTTCCCTGTTAGTGGTGGTCACGCTCTTCTACTGGAAGAACAAGAACAAATACGACGAGGAGGAGATCCCCAATGAGATCAGGTTTGGCTTCGATTTGTGGTTTTGGTCAATTGCAACCAAACGCTCTTAGTCTCCAGTGCATAGAGACAACATAATATTATGGGATATGGTTTCTCAATAAGGGATTGATTACTTGCACATGTATTCCAGACTGGAAGGGTGGGAACTACATTTTTGGCCTCTCTGCTCTATCTCAAAATACAATAAGACGCAGCAGCAGCTTTGTATTTCCTACTGTAGAACGATTAGTGTGTCAGCAAGGCAATCACAAAGAATCAGTTAAAAAAAAGAAAGTTAATTGGATTTAAAAGTTTGGAGAATTTAGCTTAATCTTATCTCCTGACAGCAAATGTTTCCGTCATCACAGGCTAATTTGTCTGTTCAAACAGTCTGTGAAGCTCTGTCAGTTGATTAAATGGGCTGCAATTTCTCCCCTCAATCACTCCATGAATCATTTGGAAGATAAATCGTAGTTCAGATATCTGAGGCTTTGGCTGATTGATAACTGATAACATAGGCCTCATTTTGGTCTTAATCCCCTATTAACTCTCCACCCTGACGGCTCTACTTTTCCCCCACGAACAGAAAATCACAACGAATATGTTTTATGTCAGCCAGATTTATCAGGAGTCAAACTCATTTACCCAAAATGACTGCATGAAAAATAATAATAATAATAATAAGAGCAAGGATTGAATAAACTGCAGCTTAAAAGCAGTGATTTTGTCAGTTCAAAGTATTTTTTTATGTTGTTTGAATGTTTTTTAAATATATATATATATATATATTTTAGATTTTGGTGTTTGTCTTGCTATTGTACTATTACTGTGATCCACTGTATATCTAACATGGTCCAGAAAGATATAAGGGCAAACATTAATAAATGAGTAGTACTAGGTTTCTCACTATTGACTGCATAGAAGAGCTCTTTTAACTTTTTATAAATATTTGAAGACTGCCATCATTCCTTATTTCACTGATATCCTCACAACTTCCACTTATTCATCTTCTGAACAGAGAAGATGACCTCCCTCCCAAGAGGTCATCGTCGGCGAAGGCTTTCCATGCAGACGCCTCATCCTCAGAGAACGACACGCTGACGTCTACCAACACCTACAACAGCCGCTACTGGCACAACCCCAAACCCAACTACGACACCAACTCCTACACGCGCTACAACGGAGACACTCGCCAGACCTTCTCCACCGCTGCTCACGGTGCACACGGTCACGGACAGGCCCAGAACGCGGGACACGGCCACAGTACAGTGTCCACAGCACCCGGCTCAGCTCCGCTGTCCCGTCACGCGCAGCCGGCGACGATGACGACATCGTTTGCCAATGGCAGCCACACGCTGCCGCCACCCAAAACTCTGGTGGTCACCACAAACTCTGCCCCGTCCCCTCCCGTCATGGTGCGCAGCAACGGCTCCGTGAGCCTCAAACCGGTGGTGACGTCCACGCACGGGCAGCACACGCACTCCTACGCGGTGAGCCAGGCCACGCTGGAGCGGATGGGGGCGGTGCCTGTCATGGTGCCCGCCCAGAGCAGAGCGGGCTCGCTGGTGTAAAACCTCATTTGGGAAACTCTTAGCTTTGACAACAAGACTAAATGAGTGTTTGGTTTTGACGTTTGAAACGCACTGATGAAAAACAGACCGAATACGGGCGGATGCAGCCCGCTGCCCTTTACAACTGTGTCTTGTCTTGACCTCTTCATCTAAAAACAAACTGGGATTTAACAGTACAGAGTTCATTTAATGCCAATTCCTTGATGTATGGGACCCTTCATTCAGTAGACGAGCACTGCAATGAATCTGATCGTCCACGTATTGGATGGATTTTCATGGCGGATGTGGTGGGAACTATTTTTCACTTGGATGAAAGCTGGAGTGAAATTCCCTGCATAACCTGGATCCCCAGATATCTTTTCAAGGCTGGATCATTGTGATGATTGTGGGCTTTTTTTTTTTTTTTGGACTCAAAGCAACACAAGGCATTGTCATCTCAGTGTGTCCATACTGCATGGTCAGAGAGAAGCGAGCTATGACTCCCACGTAAATGCATTTGTCTCTTGTTTTAGGATAACAAATTACATCCGTATTATTTCCAATAACTTATTTTCAGAGTTGATGAGGATTATGCATTGAAATAGTGAATGTTCAAACGTCTGTTGGGAGTAAGCTGATGGATGAAAGTATTAGAATGGAATGATGTCGGGTGAAATGGCCTTAGAAGCTTAAGGAGAGGGGTTGTATTGGGTGCAATACATTGCATAATATACTTTAATGAAAGCAAACATTTTAACTACGTTTTTGCACTTTTCAGAGCAATTTTCTTTATCAAAACTGCTGTCTTATGAACAATAACTTAACAATGACGGGCTTTTACCCATACTTCATATATCAACCCTTTGATGCACTCACAAAAATATTAGTGAATAAATGCTTTATAATGGATATATATATATATATATATATAAGGTGATTTTCTTCCCCTTGACAAAGGCTTATTCCTATCGGTTTCTACTGTACATATATCTACTGTACAAAAGTAGGCTAGATTGTGAATCAAAGAAAATACATGATGTCTGACTGATTCTACAACTCATGTGTCTTAATTTTAAAAAGGTTCTTCTTAGACAACAAGCTGGTTTTGATAGTCAATGTTATTGTTTTCAATGAAGGGATTTTTATTTTTTTTTAAGTTTTCATTACAAGGTCTGAGGTACATACAGTATGGTTTAACAAAAGATGGCCATACGTTTGACTATAAATAGTAGACACCTCTGCTGTATATGGTAGAACGTTTCACTGTGTTTCTGACCGACTGTATTTATATTTTAACCAAATCTTACCTGCCTGTTAAAGAACTGTTACAGTGTCCCCACATTTCTCAATCCTCATTTCTTATCGTGCATTACCTCAATGCCCGATACTAATAATTTGTTGTAGCTATGATGCAATATTTAATGCAGCAATTTCTTTTGTGTTTGACATGCAATATTGGAAAGTGTGTTTTATTCTTCAAAGCAATTCCTCTTTGCGTTTGACATATGAGATTAAATTGAATGTGCTTTTTTTGGCATTTAAATATATACTGAGACAAATTTATGTGCTAACAGTATAAATTGTGCTCCAGCTTTAACACATATAATCTCATGATTCATGGTGTGAACATTTTCATTTATATTATTTAGTCCAGTTGACTTCACTGATTTTTATAAACACCTTTTTATGTGGGGACTGTTACATTTATTTATGTTTTCATGTCGTCTCATAGTAGGTGCTATATAACTCTCAAATACTTAATTAATTAATACATTTAAAAAAAAATAACTGGGAGGGCTGGCAGCTACTTTGGAGTGGTATTAGCTCATTCTGTTAGACTGGAGTCATAAATATACAAATGCTCTTTAATCCCAACAAATATTTGGAAAATGTGAGGAATAAATACTAGCCAAGGTAAGGTATTTTTGTTGTATTCCTGTCATCCCTTACTGTAATTCACATGGAGTCACAAAAACGACCTGCCGAGTACCAGTCAACACTGATTTTCCATGACAGTTTGTCGTCATTGATGTAGGCCTGATGTTTACACACCTGGATCAAACTGTAACCCTGAAATTCTCCTTTTTTTTGCCTGGAAGTCATAATATGACTTGTAGTTTATTATCTGCATTTTTTTATTTATTTTTTATCAACTACTACAACATATATCAGTCCAGTTCAATCACAAATATGTTTGTCCATCTGTGTACATTTGACCCCGGTCTGCTATACACCTGTATCAGTATTATTACACATTTATCCAACGTTTCTTTTCCTTGTCTCAAGGTTGTCTACCGTGTAACAGAGCTACAGTTCTTTGGTAATTCCCACCTGCAACTCACACACACACACACACACACACACACACACACACACACACACACACACACACACATATTGATTCATAAATACAGTAAGGCTTAAAAGAGTTTAACTGATCAAAGCTCCATTAATACCTCCCAGCCTTTTTGTCTGACAGTGTTTTCATAATAAATTAGATTACACTCACCATCTCTCCTGGTGTCCTGAGCACTGGCCGACAAAATTTACGGAGAACTTTTCTTCTAGCATCTCTGGCTCTGTTCTTCCCAGAGAAAAGTTCAGGCTGGAAAAGCTAAAGTGAGATTATTTTACTAACTCTGCCCTCTGGTTGCAGGAACAATGGAGGAAAGAGAGCACAATCAGTAGAACACTACTGAGACTTTAACCCAGATTGAATACAAATCTCTCATCTTCTACCCTGGCCATAGGTCGGCGTGTGGTACACACGGTGATATATGGGTTGTGTATATAGATAAATAATGACTTGTGAAATATTGCCAATAGTTAAGCCAATCTGTAAATATGTATAAAAAATACATCTTGTTCTTACTGTTGGGTCGAAATGAAATAGGAAAAATAACACTGGAACTTGTAGTGAATAAATATTGTTAATACATTCTAATCTGCATTCGTTTGTTTGTGTGTTGCATGTTTTATTCTGCGCGATACGATTTCCCAGCCTGCTTCGTGTTTCGAAGATTAAAGTAACATTGCTCAATAACGAATAATATAATCAAAGAAAGAAAGAAGAGAAAACAAGACAAATGACCTTTTACCTTTGCTTCATAAGTCTTCAAGTGGATCATTATTAAGAATAGAAACATTGTGCTGTATATGTACGTATAATGTGTACCTGTTCTGCATATAATGTCCCATGCACAATGGTTATTGTCTTAAGGAGGAGCTCCTGGTGTGATATAAGTAACTTTCATATTTCACACTTTGCTCAGCAAGCTTTCTATGAAACTTATTCATCCAGCCTTTGGTGCTCCTGCAGGCTGTTACGACAATCATAAAGACGGGAGCTGTACAGAATAATAACATGTAGAATATGCAAGTGTGCTAGTTTCTTCTCGCTCTTGTGGTTTCTATTCCCAAGACAAATTGTGCAATGCTGCAAAAATGAAATGTCTTCCAAGTAAAGATAGAGATTTAAAAAAGATCCGTGAACGGACACTTTAAGATATACATGTTAAACAATTCTATTTTGACTTTGTAACGCTTGTGTTTTACTTGCTCTGTGTGGTTTGTTCTGACTCTCACAGTTTACTTAATTACATTCAGAACCAACGACTGAGTTCATCTATGTGGACTCTTTCTGCTCGTTACTGCACATTACCCAAGTATACTTTGCCATATTATAATGATCATTTATGAATTTGGGGTAACAGGCCTCTTCTCTTTCACAGCATGAAAGCTCTAAATGACGTGCTGGTTTTAGGTTGTATTTTTGTGAGAGCATGTTATTGCTTTCTCAGAGGATGCATGGTGTATTTGTCTTATTTATTAATGGCTATGATCATTTTAACCTTCTGGTAATGGATAGTAGTAATCTGAAACATCTCGGTTGGAATTATCAAAACTGCTGTTCTTCTTTTTACCACTTGGGGGCAGTGTTTATACACTCAGTGCATACAGGACAGAAATCTGTTATCATTTCAGTCTCAAATCTCATCATAAGAGTTCAAGACAGTTAATTTTGAGCAATTATTATAAAAGACGAATGCATCTAATGGTGTTGGATTAAGTTTTAATCGACTTATTTAAATTAATTTGAATAGAGAGAAAATCACTTCCATTTGACAGAACGCGTACGTCTTAATGCAACCTCAGACCTGGAGGTTTCACTTCTCATCAGTGTCCCATTATTCTTCCTCTAACTCATTTCCACTTTAAGAATCAACAGGAGTGAACTTTCGAAAGGCTGGAAGAAAAAGGGCAACGGGCCAGTGCTCCTGAGGATTGTGATCATCATTTGCACACGAGGTCACCAGCATGGTGTGTGTGTGTGTGTGTGTGTCTGTGTTTAAGCAAGCATACTATGTGTGTGTCACCCCTCAGTAGAGTTTGGGGGTTTAATATATCTGAGATTTAGGATGAATCAAAAAAGATCACCCCTCCAATAATCTCTTTTGTATTTGTCGTGGCACCATATCTGCATTTTATTCATTTAATATATATATCTCGCCCTTCCCCACTCTTTAATGTATATTGTGTCACATTACATGTCATGTGAGTGGCCACTTCATAGCTGGCTGAATTTAAAGAGGTGGATCGCATAGGCCAAAATGCAATCTCGGCTATCGTGTGTATTGATATATTATCTTTTTATTAGCTCAAAATTAGTTTTTTCATTTTAAAATGCAACATCAGGATGAATATGATTTGAAGTGAGCTCATGAATGAGATTTGAAATGAGCTCATGAATGAGATTTTGAAGGGCTTTAACAGGCTACATGTGTCGTAGACGTCATTTTTCAATGGCAACTCCATTCCTGCATCTAATCAGAGTGTGAACAATGTCTTGGCTCGGATTTGTGTTATCCACCAGATATCCAGTACTACAGAGACATTGCCCCCAGAGGCTAAATCGTGGTCTGATCAATAGCCAGTGGTTTCCGAGATTGGGTCTTCTGTTGCTCTGATAGATGTTTTTTTACAAATGGCCGTGCCAGTCTAGACAATATATTTTTACCTCCTGCCAAGGCTGACTGCAGCAGAAAGCTTTTAACTTTATTGAACTGTCAAAATGCTACCATGAGCTTAATGATGGCCACACAACTTGTGTGAACCAGTTGTAAATATCTTTAACAGAATATGAAGCTTCAGCCCTCCAACCACGGTGCTAAATGTAAAACCTCATGTTACAGGCCTTGAAATGGAAATACATATTGTGTTAAATAAAGGTTTGTGGTTTTCAAAATAAGTGCACAGCCTAATAAGCAGAAAAGGGACTCTTGGGATTAGGAATTTGAATGAGAGAGACAGAGAGAGAGAGAGAGAGAGAGAGAGAGAGAGAGAGAGAGAGGGAGAGACAGACAGAGAGGGAGAGCGTAAATACAGAAACCCATTTCCCAGCAGAGCAGAGAGGTAGCCAGCTATGGAGCAGAATATGACCAGTCAAGCCTCTCTGGTTTGCAGGCTGAATGCACTATGCTGTTTCTGAGAAATCCCTTTGAACATCCATTACATGGCCCAACATCTAAAATGTTCCCTCCTTTCTAGTGTTGTATATAGAGCAGCCATCCCATAATAGCCCCGACCTGTGGAACTTCCCGTCTCTGTCTGGCCTTTGTGCCTCTGCTGAAACCACAAAATTGTGAAGGTTCATTTTTGCCTGACATAATCACACTAAATGTGTTGATGCACCTGAACATATAGCGACTTCCTTTCACCTGCACATGAAAGTAGCCTGACGAAATGAACAATATTGCAGGAAATGTATGAGAAAACATGAGTGAAGCAAGTATGGGGTATCACATGTAGAGTAATAAAAGTATGACACATCCACAATCTACCAAAAGAATGGAGTAAACTTGTCATATGCAATGCTGAGTGGTTGAGTGTGTGACCCCATTGGACAGATTATTGGCCAGGGGCAACATTCGTCTACACTTCCCGACAGACGTCTGGTAAAATAATTGGCCTTTCTCACAGCAGACATTTTGACTTGTCACAGTAGGAAAAGCACAGGTGCTCCTCATGACATTAACGATGGCTCGGTTCCATTCAAGTGTTCCAGTGAGCGTGACACTGAGACAAGCATGCACGATACCAGGAAACTAAAATCAAAGCAGCTAGATTGAATTCAGCCATCATTCATCGTCTTATTCACACCTGTGTTGTTCCTACTGTGACGAGTCAAAATGTCGTCCGTGAAAAAAGCCTGTTGTCAGGATAACATGACAATCACCACACTCCGAGGTGCTAATCCTGCTGTTGTCAGCTGCTAGGGAGCTAGCCGGGGTGCTTCCTCTTGTCCACACCAGTGCAGGTATTTCCAGTCGCTGACTTACCACGCTTTATCACTGACGTCATCTGTTGCAGAGGATTCTTATAAATATGCAGGTCAGTATTTCAGCCCGTTCTCTTTCCCAGGGTATCAAATACAGACACTTCGTCAAGCCCCTCGGCATCAACACAAGACATCTGTTAGCATCTGTATGAGATGCACTAGGCCTTCAAAGTAGCTACAGTGTAAACCCATCCGCATCATTATCTCTGGGAGTGTGAGCTGATAGTATAAAGACCAGAAAAATAAACCAACACACTGTGGGTGGGCCCAACAAACAGGACTTTCACCCTGGAGACCAGTTTGACAAACAAAACACTGTTTTGTTTTTTGCTGCACCATGAAATGACAAGGCTCCTCAACAGTCTCCTGCCTCTGACTGCACCTGGGTTCTCACTGCACTCCTCTTGTGTACGAGTTGTTAAAAGCACCATAACGGCGTCTCAATATGTTTAGGTCACCACCACACATTTGAGAATTGAAAGGCAGTTTCCAAAGTGCCCCCATAGTTTTTCAATTTGTGATGCATTCTATGACTTCCACATAGCTACTAAACTTGCATGCACGTGAAAAAAGCAATGTCGGACTAATCATCAATTTCAACATTACTCTCAGCTTCAGTGATGCTAATGTCAGTTATGATCCATAGGCCATACACATTTTCATAACGTTTTGAATGAGTTCAAACTAATCAAAGGAAGTAAGAAAGGATGAGGGAAAAGAAAAAAAAATTTACTTTTATTAAAATGATTCAATTCATCGGAGCAAAAAGCAGAAGGAATTGTATTAACACGATGAATGCAATTGCAAGCACATGTACAAGCCACGGATGAGGACAGAAAGGAACAGCAGAAGAGAGAAGAGAAACTTCAGGTTGTTCAACAGCAATGTTGTTTTCCGGTCTGATGGAGTTGCAGGAGTTCTATAGATGTTGTTAACCCCCTGAGTCGGAGGTCAAAGCAGTCCACCCGGGAGAGAATCTATGGAGAATGGGAAAGAGAAAAAAGGGGGTGATGAAAAGAGATAGAGCACAGTGATGGACAGGTTTATAGGATGACAATGGCTCAGAAAAACAATTTAAACTTTGATCAAAAGTTTAGCGGGGGATGGATAAAGATTCTAAACTTGAATTCTTTTGAGAACTTGGAAATATATAGAAGGGCAACATCACCTTCAAAGCAAAACAGGACTTTGGGTTTTCTGACTTCTCAAGGGTGTCTAATGGGCAGGACAAGAACATTGCTAAAGGAACAATGGCTGCTTTGAATGTCCAGGTAAAATACTAAAACATCCTGGTCGTGGTCATCAAGCCTGGATCGTTGAATCTGTAATTCCACCTTTTCAGCAACTCTCTGATTATCACATTCTGCCTCTCTGTCACCATTTCCCCTCCCTCCAGCAACATTCCCACTTCTACCGATCTCTTCCGGTCCACCAGAACCCCGCTGACTTTTTGTCCTGACCTCATTCCCACACGCAGTCACTCCTTCCTGCCCGACAGTAACCCCTACCCCCTCCAGTCCCAGACACATGACCTCCTCCGCCCACCGCCTCACCTTGTTTCCACTTTCCTCATCAGCCGTGCAGCTTTAGACTTACTCATTGTTTGTTAAAGTTGCTATGCT